CTGATTTATTTTTCTTTTTGTTTCGCTTTACATTCTGTCTTTTGTATTTTAACTTGTTTTTTCCCTCTATATTTTGTCAGAAGCATGAAAAGATTGAAACTTCCCAGAAACAGCTCGTTATTTGAAGGGTTTGGGATTTTGGTGAGAGGGTAGTGAGGGAAATGGCGGGTCTTGGCGTTTTGTATTGGATTTTGCTTTTGGGTTTGATTTTCTTGCAAGGAAATGCAGACCCAGTTGAGGATAAGCAGGCATTGCTCGATTTCTTGAACAATTTGCCTCATTCTCGCACTCTGAATTGGAATGAGAGCGGTCCTGTGTGTGACCACTGGACTGGAGTGACTTGTAGTGAGGATAAGTCTCACGTGATAGCCGTCCGATTGCCCGGCATTGGCTTTACCGGCCAGATTCCTGCCTACACGCTTAGCCGCCTCTCGAGGCTGCAGATTTTGAGTCTTCGATCCAATGTGATTAGTGGGGAGTTCCCTTCTGATTTTTCCAATCTGAAGAACTTGTCTTTTCTGTATCTTCAGTTCAACAACTTCTCTGGGCCATTACCCTTGGACTTCTCAGTTTGGAAGAACCTCACCATTGTCAATCTGTCTAACAATCACTTCAATGGGAGCATTCCTTTTTCACTCTCGAATTTGACTCAGCTTTGGGGATTGGATCTTGCAAACAACTCACTTTCGGGTGAAATCCCTGATCTTCAATCGCATAAATTGCAGCAGCTTAACTTATCTAACAACAAGCTGAATGGTATTGTCCCCGAATCACTTCAGAGGTTTCCGAGGTCAGCGTTTATTGGTAACAACATTTCTTTTGCAAGTTTTCCACCTGAGTATCCTCCTGTTCTTCCGCCCGCCCCTAAACCATATCCGAAATCTAAGAATGGTGGGAAGCTTGGGGAGACAGCACTGCTGGGAATTATAATTGCTGGTGCTGTTTTAGGCATTGTAGCGTTTGCATTTCTGATACTTGTTTTCTGCTCAAGAAGAAAGAAAGAAGATGGGCTTTCTGGAAAGTTGTCCAAGGGGGGAATGTCACCAGAAAAGGTGATCTCACGGAGTCAAGATGCGAATAATAAACTGGTTTTCTTTGAGGGCTGCCACTACGCATTTGATCTGGAGGATTTATTGAGGGCTTCAGCTGAGGTGCTTGGAAAGGGGACATTTGGTGCAGCGTATAAGGCGATACTAGAAGATGCAACCTGTGTGGTGGTGAAGAGGTTGAAGGATGTAAATGTTGGAAAGCGGGACTTTGAGCAACATATGGAGGTTGTCGGCAATATTAGGCATGAAAATGTGGTGGAATTGAAGGCGTATTATTATTCCAAAGATGAGAAGCTGATGGTATATGATTACTACAATCAAGGGAGTGTCTCTGCTTTATTACACGGTAACTTACTGTCTTCCATATTTCATATTTGATAAATGTTAGCCTGGTCACGCTGATAATCTTTCTGTTGAAAAGTGTTGAACGTAAATAGCTGATTGTTGTACCTCTTTCTCTTGAAGTTAATAATACCCTTGATATCCTGCACGTTATCGATGTTATCTTTCTATAAATACTCAGCAGCATCTAACACTGGTGGAATAACTTGTATTCAATCATTATAATATGTTGGAACTGTACTACTAGGTATGTGATAGATCCATTTGGAACTAGCCCGAAACATAGATGAATACTATGAGTCTTCGCTTCAACTCACTGTTTTTAACTGGTCTTCGGTCATCAAATATTAGAACATGTCTTGGTTTTCTGGATGTATATAGGATCAAAACTTGTTAAAAGATATTCTGCTGGTACATGGTGTAGACTTTGGATAATTCAGTTAACTCCTTTGCCAAGTAACACTTCTACTATTCCTGTGGCTTAGAATTGTTTAATGCTTGAATTTTGAGGTTTAGAAGCTAATCTTGTTTTAATCAATAAAACAATAATTACCCTTTTTTAGTCGAGTAATACTATATGGTTCATACCAACACTGTGTGAAGTTTGTGGTACATCACTTGCTGCTTCACTAGTCAAGAGAAAGTAGCTTCATAGAGTCTGAGTGCGTTCACTGGTGTTACCGTGCCTTATACCTTTGTAAGGCTTCAACATTTCTTTGACCAAGAAATATAAGTTTTGAAACTAGGATAATCCATGGTTAATCAATACAAAGTGATATTTTGGACATCGGGGAGTAAATATCTTTCTGAAAAGCTTCTTTGGGTAGAAGTTCCTCTGGTTCTTCCATTCTAGAGTTCTTTGTTTGTAAACCACGTGGTGCGTTGGAAGTGTTCATTCCATCAAGGTAGGGACAGGCAAATACTGTATTTTACACATCATGCGCTATTCTTTGGTGCACCCTAGTTTTTATCTTGATCAAGCCTTCAAACCCCCAAAAGTTGTGGCTGGTAATCGGGAGGAACTCAATTTTATTGATGAAAATATGTTGTAGTTCTCGGCATTGACATCTTTTGGTATGACAATATTTGGTTGGTTGTATGCTTGGCATTCTTACTCCATTGTCTATGCTGCATGCATCATCCCTGTAGTAGCGACTAATATATATCCTGCAATATTCTTTCCATTTTCAGGTAGAAGAGGAGAGGGCAGAAATCCTTTAGATTGGGATACCCGATTGAGAATAGCAATTGGAGCTGCAAGAGGAATTGCTCATATTCATACAGAGAATGGTGGGAAGCTTGTCCACGGAAACGTCAAAGCCTCAAACATCTTTGTAAACACGCAACAGTATGGTTGTGTTTCTGATGTTGGTCTGGCAACTATAACGAGCTCACTGGCCCCACCAATCTCCCGTGCTGCTGGTTACCGAGCTCCAGAAGTGACAGACACTAGGAAATCAGGACAACCTGCTGATGTCTACAGCTTTGGGGTTGTGTTACTGGAACTCCTCACTGGAAAATCCCCAATCCATACTACTGCTGGCGATGAGATCATCCATTTGGTCAGGTGGGTTCATTCAGTTGTCCGAGAGGAGTGGACAGCGGAAGTGTTTGACTTAGAGCTGATGAGGTATCTATACATAGAGGAGGAAATGGTGGAGATGTTACAGATAGCCATGTCTTGTGTTGCAAGGATGCCTGATCAACGACCTAAAATGCTGGATGTAGTGAAGATGATAGAAAACGTCCGCCGGGCTGATAATGACAATCGACCATCTTCTGAAAACAGATCCGAGAGCTCAACACCACTGCCGGTGGTTAGAGCAGAAAATCCAACTTCGCAATGAGCGAGCGCCACTTGCCATTTTTCCCTTCTGGTGTAATTTCATTTCATCTCAAATGCTTTTGGTCTGGTTAGTGAACAAATATGTGGTAATTTTTATTTTATTTATCAAGTTGATCCCATTTAGGCAGAAAGTTAGGTCATTGTCAATGTATTAGTGGCTGTTGACTCTCACAATGGCATTTCAAATTATGCTTTGTTTGTTCAAAGTTTCATCTCTCTCTCTCTCTCTCTCTACAAAGTTTTTCACTTTTCAGGGCTGCAAGTTAAGTTTGATGCTGATTTCTACGTGGCCAAAGTTCATCTGAATGTGAAGAATATTGGTTGGAGGGAGAACTCAAAATTTCAAGGTGAGTTGCGGAGAGATTCGAAAGTAGTGGTGGGGAAAAGCACTCTCCCTGAATTCTTTTCGGTGTGCCTTGACCTCGGTGGAGGATGACTTCCGTGATTCGAAATATTAATCTGACATGTAGTTGTATCATGGAAGTTGCTCTCGCTTTAATGGTTGAATATACGCTAGCGAGAAGAAATCAAAATTTGTTAAATACCTTTTGCATTGATGCTTTCCCAAGTGAGAAGAAGAGAATTCACAAGGGGGAGCCAACAGCCAAGAGTGACTTTGAAATTCTCCCTACATAGAAAGTTTATACTCATGAATCTAATACGTAGATCAAATTATTCACATATCAAGGGTAACTTTTCTAACCATTTTTCAACCATGGAGTAACAATTACAGTAAAATCTCTCTAAAGTAATACTCTAGAAGGATATAACTTCCTTAAAGTCATAAAAAATTCCGGTTGCAACTTGGGACTAGTTTTGTATAGGAATAAACTTCACATTAATACGTTACAATTTTCTTAAGGAAACACACCTCTACGTTGTTATAAATGTTGCTTCCGGTTGGAGTTTGATGTTTTCTTCTTGCACAACTCAACGCGAATATGTCCGGTTAACTGATTTTTCATAATGACCTTGGGTGGCATGGCTGATTTGAAGGTGAAAAAAAAGGCATCCAACACCCTTTATACACAACAGGGCCTTGAGCATCAAGGAACAACGCCTTAGAGTACAAGTAAAGAAATTATATATGTGCAAGAAATAAAATACATGGTGCCCAATGAATCCTAAATAAGAAATGCAACATTCATTAAGGATAAATAAGCCAATAAATAATATTTTTTAACTACACCTCTGTCAATTTTATAACTTTATAGAGGTTTTATTGAACAATGTAAATATACAAGTAAATTCTGAAAAATAATCTAAAGCGATGTTTTTTTTTTCAAAATGCATTTCAAATGCTTTTAGAACCAAAAAATATTCGCTTATTTTAAAAACACTTCTAAACATACTCTATATTGATAAGCGAGGTATAACTGCTACTTAAAATTCAAATACATCCCTTAAAAAAAAAAAAATCAAATATCATGAAAAGACTAAAAGAACAAATGACTGGTTATAATAAAGCATAAGACTTTAATACAATGACAATTTTTTGTTAAACAAAACCATAAGGTATAAAGTTTTGAATCTCAAATTAATATTTTTTAAATTTATATATCTGATGAAAACTGTTATTAGTATTCCAAAAATTTCATTTTACACTCCTCACAAGTGTTTTTTTTTTTTTTTCTAATTATAAAAAATTTGAAATTTTTTTTTTTAAATGTCGATAACAATTTCCTATCTATGATTCGGAAAAATTTCTCCTTAGTTACGAATAATGTCAATAGGATGGCGCACTTTGATTGAAGTGATGCATTAAATGACACAAATGCCCATTTCCTCCTTCCCTAGAAGTGATTTTGAGTGGTTGTTCAAAGAGCTACCCACCTTCTCAATAAACTCAAAAGACCTTAAAACCAAAAGAAAGCATTAAATCAAAATCACTGATGCTTTCAGCCTACTGATGTTGCATCACTGATGTTGCACCTATTGATGATGCACCTACTAATGCTACATCACTGATGCTCACCTACTGATGCTGCATATGAAAACCAAAGAGTTGCAATACTGCCCAAAACAACAGTGAAAAAAAAACATATATATTGTTCATTGGATTTGCTTTTTAATTAATCATATATATTGTTCACTAGATTACCTTTTCCACTATGAAGTAATTTAGCTTTGTAAAAAGCTATAGGCATATATTAACTTAATTGCATCATGTTTGCTCCACTAACAATATGTTTCTTTGTTTTACATATGTAATATTATGGTTTCTTTGATAGATTATATGGCCACCTCACGTAATTGGAATGATCATGACGAGGATGTACTGCTTACCATCCTTGAGGAGATGGTAGTTAATGGTGTTAGGTGTGAGAACGGCTATTTTAAGGCTAGTACATTTGTAATGGTTGCCACCAAGATGAGGGAGATGATTCTGGGCATTAATATAAAGCCAAAGCATATACAAAACAAGCTAAAGCGTCTAAAAGAAAAGTATTCCTCTGCATATGACATGATGAATACCTCTAGATTTGGTTGGGATGACGAAAAAAGATGTGTTGTTGTGGATAGTGACGATGTACTTCAGTTGTGTGTAAAGGTACATTTTGTTTCTTATTCTTTTTCAATTAGTTGCTTTAAAAGTCATAACTTTGATTTCTTTGGTTCTTATTGTAGAAACATCCTAATGCATCTTACAAACCAAATAAGCCATTTTCGTTGTATCCACGCTTATGTACGATGTTTGGGAGAGATCGAACCAAGGGTAGTATGGCTGAATCAGCAGCAGATGCAATTGAAAATATGGGATTGGAAAATGAGGATGATGATGAAACATTGAGATGCCTCCGACTTCACCTACCCCATCTCCTTCTATTGGTACATCCAGTGCATCTCAACCTATTAGGAAGAGGAAGAGGAATAAGAATAATGTTGATGCAAATATTTTAGTTGTTATCCGTGAGGGTTGGGATAAAGCAGTTACTGAAATGAAGAATTTAGGTGAAAGTTTTACTTTGAGAGAAGCGAAAGCCAGGTTACCTTCTCAGCTTCAGGCCATGGGTCTCCTATATGATCAGGTGCTGAGAATTTCAATGAAATTAGTGAAAGATACTGATATGATGAGTATTTGGTGTACCTTAGATGACTCTCACAAAGCAGATTTCGTTAAAATGTATATGGATGGCATCTAAGCATTAGGGGGTTTAGTATGATATGAACTACATCAACTTCTGGGGTTTAGTAAGACATTATCTTTCTTTCTTTTTTCTTTTTTTTTTTCTGAAGTTAGGACAAATGTTTAATTTGGGATTTCATGTTTAAGTTATGGATATTTCATGTTTATTGCTTTAGCAAGATAATATCATTAAACTTATATATTTTTCATCCTTGCATGGCAACCAATGCCATAGACATCCAATTGTCTCACAACTTAACTTATAATATACATATTGTTTGACACAATTTGCATTTCAATGTGATGACGAAGAGATGAAAGCAGATTGTGTCAAAGATTTCAACATAGTCATTGCATCAACAGTTGTTCTACCATGCCAACCTCTTCATATGTAATTCATCACATATACATAACCATATACATATTGTGGCTACACTACCACGTACCAAGTGCCAAGCCAATGGCATGCTCTCACCCTATTATTTTTTTAAATCACATAAAATTAATTGATGTATTATCCCACTAAATTAATTATACGAGCAACAGAGTATAAATACATGTCTCTTGTTTTCTGTTATACACGGTACGAAATATGAACATATCCAAGTATAGTGTACAAAATATATCATAGATAAGCAGCATCATGAAGAAGAAGAAGAAAAAAAAAAATGTTCCGTCCCGACCCAAACATTGTACCAAACAATAGACGAAACAGGGATAACATTGTACCAAACATTTTGGTTCCGTTTCGTCCTACGCTTACCAAACACAAAACAGAACAACTCTCTCATTCTGTCATGCGCATACCAAACATCACATGGAACCACTATTCCGTCCCGTCATGTCCCTTCCCGTCCCATCCCGTCCTGTCCCGTTCCGTCCCGTCTGCGTACCAAACGGCCCCTCAAGGAACAACGCCTTAAAGTACAAGTAAAGAAATTAGATATGTGCAAGAAATAAAATACATGGCCCCCAATGAATCCTAAATAAGAAATGCAACATTCATTAAGGATAAATAAGCCAATAAATAATATTTTTTAACTACACCTCTATCAATTTTATAACTTTATAGAGGTTTTATTGAACAATGTAAATATACAAGTAAATTCTGAAAAACAACCTAAAGCGATGTTCTTTTTTCAAAATGCATTTTAAATGCTTTTAGAACAAAAAAATATTCGTTTATTTTAAAAACACTTCTAAACATATTCTATATTGATAAGCGAGGTATAACTGCTACTTAAAATTCAAATACATCCCTGGAAAAAAATAAATTCAAATATCATGAAAAGACTAAAAGGACAAATGACTGGTTATAATAAAGCATTAGACTTTAATACAATGACAATCTTTTGTTAAACAAAACCATAAGGTAAAAAGTTTTGAATCTCATATTTTTAAAATTTATATATCTGATGAGAACTGTTATTAGTATTCCAAAATTTTCATTTTACATTTCTCACAAGTGTATTTTTCTTTCAAATTATAAAAAATTTGAAATTTTTTTTTCTAAATGTTAATAACAATTTCCTATCTATCATTGAAATTTTTTTTTCTAAATGTTAATAACAATTTCCTATCTATCATACGGAAAAATTTATCCTTATTTACGAATAATGCCAATAGGATGGCACACTTTGATTGAAGTGATGCTTTAACGCAATGACACAAATGCCCCTTTCCTCCTTCCTAGAAGTGATTTTGAGTGGTTGTTCAAAGAGCTACCCACCTTCTCAATAAACTCAAAAGACCCTAAAACCAAAAGAAAGCATTAAATCAAAATCAATAATAAAGCAGGAGGGTCTCTCAGGTCAAAGGTAACCCTCTCTCTCTCTCTCTCCCTCTCGATAATTTTGCAGAAATTTAATTTGGGGATTTTTCACTGAGGTGATTTTATGATCTAGGGTTTGTTTGGTTGAATTTTTGTTTGTGAAGGTGATGGCGTCGAAACGGATCCTGAAGGAGCTGAAGGACCTCCAGAAAGATCCTCCTACTTCGTGCAGCGCTGGTATGTCTAGTTTTGAATCCGATCTGATTCCTTCTGATGCTGCTTTTGGTTTGTGTATGCTGATAAAGTTTTAATTTTGTGTTTTGGGTAGATTTTGGCATCTGATTTGACCTTCGATTGATGCTTGCTTTTGAATTTTTTATTTTTTTATTTTTTTTATAACCCAAACCAGTAAATCTGTGTAAAAGCAGCAGTCTTGCTCTTGACAGACTTTGATCATTTTATCTCATGCAATTTTGTATTTGTCGAAAATTGAATGAAACTGTATTTGTTTTCGAAAGTTGGTCATCTGAATTGCATGGCTAAGAACTATTTGAGAAGAGGTATATGATAGTGAAGGTGCTATTGTGTGGTAGTTGCTACTTGTTACCCATATACCCATTTCCCTGCCCGACCCACCATACCGAATTGGGCAATAGATGACCCATCTAGCATCTTGGTTATAAATGGGTAATTTCCAATTTAACAAGGTGTTAAATCTATAGTGGTGGTCTGTAAGGACACACTTAACATCCAAAAGGGAAACCTTTACGGTTTTTGGGTGATCCTTATTTTGAGTAACTCAAAATCACTGGGTCCTGCAAGTCCACCAAGGTGCTAAAGCGGTTTTTGGTGGGAGTTTCGTTATTCTCATGCTTGTCGATGGTCGCAAAGACGGAGTTGTTAGACATTAATGTTGTTAGAAAGCCTAAAGAAGAGGAAGGTTAGGGCACTCAAAGAAGTTGACTGGTAATTTGAAGTTGGAACAGTGTTGAGTATTTGTTTTCTGATTGTTTTGAATATTGTTTAGGTAAAGCGGTCATTGCGTGGTTGTATAAGTTGTGGTGGGAAAAGACGCATTCTTATTTTTCGTGGTAGGTGATTAAGTATTGTCTTGGGGTTTCTTGTTCGACACTTTATCTCAACAGATAAATGGCATTACTCTGGAAACGAAGGACAAACTGCCTTACGTTTCAAATTTCCCCCTTATGACAGTCTACTGCATGGATTAATTATAGATATTTCTTCTCTTCTGTTAGCTGGATATATGCTATATCCAGAGTAGACCTAGACCTACCCACCCTAACAATGGGTTAGGTTGGGTATTGGCATTAGATGTAACTGCAAAGTGAACGGGAAGCTATTAGTGAATCCCGCATATGGCCCACCCTAAAACTTCCCATTTTCCTCCTAAGTGATATTATTTAACTGAACGGACTATAAACACATATTCGTTTACTGGTTTACTTTGAAGATTAACATTACCCTCTTATATATGGCTTATCTTATAAATGATAATAATTTATTTTTTAGTTTCAAATAACTTGACTAGGTTAGATTGTTTATGTTTATCATCATTTGTATTACCATAATTTTTGTCATTGTTTATGTTTAATCCACTTAACGGCTGCAAGAGTTCATTATGTTGGGAGAATATGGACTAAGTCTCTCTCATTTATAGCCACAGCAGTCTACCTACTGTGATTAACGAAATTATGTGCAAGTGTAACCCTTCATTTCTTCTAGGCTATTAGAACTCTCTTTGTATAATGTTTTCATAGTGAATGGCAACTTTTGTCTGCTTTTTCAATTTTTTTTGTTGTTAGAAATTTACTGAAACTATTCGATAAAAGACTAACGACATTGTTCTCAGCAGATATCCAATTTGATTGCCTTTGCTCTTATGTATATCTTTAGGCCCAGTTGCAGAAGACATGTTCCACTGGCAGGCAACAATAATGGGTCCTGCTGACAGTCCTTATGCAGGTGGAGTGTTTCTTGTCACTATCCATTTTCCTCCAGACTATCCTTTTAAGCCACCAAAGGTACTTGCTGGCTTTCTATTAATTTCACATCGTATACGCACAAGTTCCTTTCTTTATTGCTCTGCTGATTTCGTAATTGAATCAGAATCCTTAGTATCTTGATGTCAAAGAGTTGAGTACCTCATCTGGCCTAAAAAGTTGGAAAGACGTCAATCATATTCTTATGCTATCTTTCTCACACATATGATAACCAATTGAATAGGCTTATGCCTGGGAAAGATGACCATATCCTGAGCCACTATGCCTTGATTGATTGTAATTTCTTGAACAGTAATACATTAATTAATTGATGAATGATGCCTAATGTATTTTCCATATCTCATTGAGTTGATTTCATGATACTAGAAATTGACAATTGTTCACTAGCTTATTAATACTGAAGTAAATGGCATCCTCATTTGGAATGGTAACCTGTTCGCATTACTAGTGGCTGTTCTGTAAATGGGACTCCACATGGTTCACATGTGGTGTTCCTGTGGTAAATTATGATGTAAACTAATTACAAGAGCTACTTTTACGGACCTTTTAAGTCCTATGGGATATCTGGTTTAGTTTGAAAGTTCGTTGCTAATAGACACACTGGCCGAAGTCCATATTGGATGTTTTAAAAGTTCCAAATTTTGATAAATGACTAGGAAACTGTGAAATTTTGCATATTGGTTGTTGTCATAAATACTGTTATGTTGGCTTTTCAAGATCTTTTACTTCTACTATTAGAACTTATTAAAGATTTTGTTCAACTGTTATTTCGTTTATCTTTTTGCTACTTACATGTAATTCTGTGCTATTTTTTTTATGTTTTTGCAGGTTGCATTCAGGACAAAGGTGTTTCACCCTAATATCAACAGCAACGGTAGCATTTGCCTTGACATATTGAAAGAACAGTGGAGCCCTGCCCTGACCATATCCAAGGTAAATGCTTAATACCTTAAGCAGGATTGCTTTCTTCACGAATTTGATTGTTCTACAGACACTAGTTTCCCCTACTGAGTTCTACATATGACTCGAAGTGGTTACATCAGTACAGGAAAAGCGAATCACTAGTGATGAAACTTGGGGTTTTTATATGATCCTATGCCATGATTTTGGTGGACTCCATTATTATTACAATGCCCCTTGTGATTTATATCTTTTGATTTTAATTTGCAATTTTGTTACTTCTGAAATTTTACAAATTAAAGTTTGCAAACATAAGAGCTCTATGAGAAACAAACAGCACAAGTCCTTTATCGGCCAGAATAATTTTTGTTTTCTTTTTCTTGTGACGAATCATCACTTGTGCTAATTGTACCAAGAAATTTCCATAGTGAAATACTCATTGATCTTGGGGATCCCATTGCCTATTTGAATTATTTTGATGTGATGCACTGTGGCTTTTGAACTGTTATGATGTTATGCACTGAACAGGAAACAATGTTTGATCAGATCTGCCATACACATTGAAACTGGTTTGGCTGGAAATTTCTTATATCTGGGTATTAATATAGTTGATGCAATCATATGTCCTTCGTGTCACTGAAGCACAGGCACTGGTTTCACTTTCATGTTTCAGGTGTTGCTCTCGATCTGTTCACTGTTGACAGACCCAAACCCTGATGACCCTTTGGTCCCGGAGATTGCCCATATGTACAAGACTGACAAGAACAAGTATGAGACCACCGCAAGGAGCTGGACTCAGAAGTATGCTATGGGTTAGTCTAGGCGATGCTAGGGCCGTGTGAAGGAGGGCTTCTTTTCCTGTGGCAGTATGATCATTTGATCAGATGTATGAATGGATGTGTGTTCTGTTCCTTACATAAGCGGACCAAAAGGGAGAGTTTACTGCCCTCGGAACACTATATTGCTTTCGAATTGTTTGTTATGCAAAAGTTTATATATGAGACTCTGAAACCATTCTCTCCCTCTTAACAAAGTGCTGCTGAAAATGAACTTCTTTGGCCCCTCCTAGAAAATATTTGTTCTGGCTTTTTGCAATTCACATTTTGACACATGCAAAATTAACTTGTTAGAAACGCAACAAAAGTTTTATGTGTGAAAATGTGATTGGCAGATAAGCAGGAATGTCTATTTACAATTGGAGGAGTCATGGCAGATAATGGCCACAAGAAGAATGAACCTGCAAGAATCTAAGTACGTTGCACTAAGTGTTAGTGGTTGAAGCATTTTAGCTGTTAAATTTGATTTACATGACTATTATATTTTTTTTATTTTTGTTTTAGTTTATTTTTGGTACCACTTTGTGTACGTGTTGTTGAAAAAAAAAAGTTGTAAAATAAGATGGAGTTAGTCAAGTTGGATAGAGCTTACCATTTGGCAGGGGTCTTTGCATTCAAGTTCGAATTTCCTTTGATCGATTTAATGCATTTATCCTACCAGTGTACGTTACGCTAGTGTTTTTTAGCAACCCCATGAGGAAGACTGGAGCTTAAACTCACTAGACGGACGTTGGAGGCCGAGTCCGCCTGAACAACCCTGGTCAGCTTCTTTCATCAAGCAACACAGCCTAGCCTAGGGACTTTCTTGGGTGCTCCGAAGTATCCAAGTATTCTAAGAGTTTTAACAATTAGATTTTTATTTAAAAATATCAAAATAAGATCTAATGGTTAAAATATGAGAAGTACTGATACAACCAGAGTGCCCATGAATTCAGCGCCTGGCCTAAGTCCCAACCCGATGTGATTTGAAACCTCCCAAAGTAAAAAAAAGTCCTTGGAATTCTTTATCCGTATCGAACAGGAATGTGTACTGTGTAGTGTTCATTTTGCAGTGGGCTTCAAAGGGGTTGGCCCAAATCCATTTTAAAGGGTGAGTTGCTTAATAGGAGGAGACCTAGATACCCCACCAATCAAAGTTATTTTTTAGGGATCAACTTGGATGTTACGAGAAAAGATAACTTTGAACCACATTATTACTAATCTATTATGAGGCTAAACTCACCTTCTTTTCCATTAGTATATATAATACCATTCAAAAAAAAAAAAAAAAAAAAAAAAAAAAAACTTGGATGTTACGAGCAACTTATGTCTTTCGATTCCCCAAAAACTAACCTCTAACCTCTTGTTTTTGTTGGGTAAGTTCAAGTTACTAGTTTCTACTCAATGCGAGCGTAGTTATAATTGTCAGATCGACAAGTTCATCGTGAGTTATAATTGTCTGATCGACAAGTTCATCGTAAGTTACGACGGATCGCAATCAGCTGAGTGGTGTTCCCATCAAAGTACGAATTCGTAACGAAGATGCACCTAACCTGGATTTAGTAAAGCATGCATGCTTTCATGGCATTTGGATGGTGTGATCGGGTGGGTAGGCCATTTCCATTTTTGTTGCCTTTTCAACCTCAAGCAACTGTTTGAGATCAGAAGTCCCCTCTGTCTCTTTGATCTTCCCAAATATTATGAACAATGACAGTAGCTGATCATGTGCCACTGCCAAACCAAAACCCTAGAGAGACAGTACACGGTAACTAGAATAAGGACTTACTAGAACTAGGTTTCCATCCACCGCGGCCTCCCGGTCTAATAATATAATGTTATGTGTGAATTTCTTTCTACATAGCATTGCATTATTAGACCGAAACGCTATGTAATGATAAACCTATTTTATGTAAGTTGTTTTCAGTAACTAGATGCGGTAAAACAAAACTAAAATTACTCAAAATCAGGATCCAGTTAATTAATGATGCATCAATTTTTTTTAGGCAGTTTGTGTCCTCCTGCGGCAAGTATGATACCAAGCGGATGAATAAAACATCACTCGAATTCAAATTGTGTAAATTTTTTTTGTCAATACACTATCAACATGATGCGTATCAATTTGTACACAAAACGACAATTCTGTCTTTGGGAAAAATGTAGGGCTGCAATCCTACGAAATAGTACTCCAATACCCTACAAATCCACAACTTTGTTTTCTCACAATTGTCATTTCCTCTTTTGAAAAATACTAACTTCTCTTTCAAATTGTGACTTTCAACTTTCTGTTTTCTTACATTTTTTACATAATATTTTTTAATATTGACACCGAAATTTAGCTTAAACTATGAAGCGATGGTAAATTTACAGAGAATTTCATACTTTTTAGAAAAAACTTTATTCAAATCAAAAACCTCTAATAAATTATGTTCTAATACCGTCAAAAAAAATTCTACTTTTAAGAGCCGTCAGTTCTCTTCCTTTTTTTAACCAATTTTCAACATGGTAAATACGTGCTACAAACAAAAAAATCCAAATGTCTTTAGGGAGACATGTCCTACAAAAGGGCTAGAGCCTAGGACCATGGGCCTAGAGAGAGATAAAGAGAGAGGGATACTTTGTTCCTCTCTCTCACGTCTCACTTTCTTTCTCAGACAATGTTGATTTTTTGGGGTTTTTTAACGGAAAAGGACTCTCGTTGAATTTTTTTTCAAAGGATTGGAAGATTTTATAATTATATGTATTTACTATATATCATACGATTAGAAATTATTTTAAACTTAAAATTTTAAATTTTAAATTAAATATAAATAGTATCTAATAAAAATTGAATGCACAATATACGATGAACAAACATGATTACAATATCTTAGAAGGATGTAGCTATTTTTAACATCTTTGTAGCGTTGAAAAGCCATCTAAGTGCTCCCCCACAATAACCCTTTCAAAATAAAAAATAAAATAAAATTTGAAAAAGGAAAGAGATTTGCTTCTCTCTCCCTTTCAAAAGGAAAAAAGAAAAAAGAAAAAAGAAAAAGAGATTTGCTTTATTTTTTTGTTTGGATTCGAATTAGTCGGTTCAAAGTCAAAACACAGAGAGAGCCTTGAAGAACATCAGAAGCGTCCAGTGGACCTAAATGGTGGCGGTGCTAGTTTGGAACCAATCACGTGAGGACACTTGGAATCCTGCTTCTATTTGTTAATTGTTAAGTGAATTTAACTCACCAAGCCGTTAATTAAGTGTGCGAGAAATGCTCATGGGCTCTTTTAAAAGTGAGGACTTTTTATAGGTTTTGTGCAAACACATAATTTTAAATTAAGTTTCGTGTCAACATTATAAAAATATTGTTTAAAAAATATGAGTTAACAAAAAATTGTGTTTTTAAGGGAGTCTCTTTGACATTTCTAATAAGTATGCTCATGTCTAACATTGGGCATGTTATTGAGGATTCCATGGTGTTGCTGCAATGGGTGATCGGAAGCGGTTTCACTCGTGTACATTGACATGCTAATCGCTCATCGTTTTTTTTTTTTTATAACATCAAGAAAACAATTAATCTTAACTTAAATAAAGTTCCATTTTTGAAAAGGAAATCAATTTAAGTCTAACTACATGCTAATACCGTCAAAATTATACATGCAATGACACAAAATAAAAAGTGAGTTCTTAACATATACACAAAATACAAAGTGAATTCTTCACATGACCGAACGCTTTTACTTAATGATATTATTTTATTTTGCAACGAGATGTTGGGGACAATATAAATTCTTTACTAAGTATCTGGCAAGCTCGTACATTATACAATCAAACAAGAATTCACTTGATTAATGTTCTAAACTCATGACCGACATTGTTTTGGACGATAACATCTCTCCTTAGATACATTTAACCTATTAACAAATCGCGTTACTCGAACCGAATGGTCTAAAGATCAACCTCACTAGCCGGAAACTATGGAGGTCAAGAACCATGGCCTGTGTTGGTAACCCTTGAATTTAATAAGGTTGAGTTCCCAATAATAACATAAGCAAACAGCCAAATGAAAGCTTAGCTGTATCTTAGTGGCACAGAGATCATGTTTTTCCATGCCTAAAACCATTGTACTTGTAAGATTACTTAATTCAAATTAAATTTGACCAAAAATTATTTATTTATTTATAATCTTTCACACTAACATTATTTAATTTCAGCATGCACGTGGAAAAGCTTAATGCAGAATAGAAATTCAGAAAAAGAAACAAAAACCAAAGTCCCGGCAAACTAGTCGTGTTTTAGGAGTTGGAAAAAGACCCTGGTTATCAGGTCTTTAATTCCTACTTTAATCACAATTAGTAGGGTTCTTTTAGGAGGGCTGATTGTCTCTACTGAGGACAGGAGTGACTCCCAAGCTGGTGACCTCCACTCAAAGATGTAGTGATGTGGCCATTGTCGAGCTCGGTCTCCATTTCTTAGCAGTTGGTGAAGTGGACTTACACTAAAGTTTGGTTAAACTATTAAGGGATATTATGGGCTTTATTAATCATTTGTTTCTTCTAATCTAATCATTTAATCATTTGTTTAATACCTAATCATTCTTTGCTGATTTCCTTTAATTTATCTGCCGCATTACAATAATCAAATATGGGTTTTAAGGGAAGATATTATGATAAACTATTAGATATTTAAATGGCAATAGTATATGTAGGAACAATTCCTTGGGCTTGTTTGAACAACCAGTTGCGCGGAGCAGAATCCAAATCACAAGTTGTTTACAATAAGATTACACTGAATGTTTTTTCGTCAAGGTGCATATATATGATTTTCAGCTATTGATCTATGTGATACCACTTGAAATTCATAGTCATACACGTGACATGAACAAGATTATCACTAGCAGTCACCATCCCCATGCATACATCCTCCTCCTTTTTTGAGAGATTTTTTAGTGGAACAATCATACTGTTCTGTAGTATTATTCACACACGTACAATAATATCCATGGGTGGATGTCAAAACTAATATTTCACAAGCGTAATATTTAGAAAATTAATAGGTAAATACATATACATATATATATATTATATTATAAATGAATTAGTAACATCACGTGCCCCGTCACAACACAAAAGAAAAAAAAAGTTGAGACATTATTATTGTTTTCTATATGTATATATATATATATATATATATATATATATTATTGTTGTTGTCACAAATCTAAACTTTTGAGTGCATAGTGACAACAACAACAATAATGTTGCTCTTCTCTTTACACATCACGAAAAGGGAGTTGATTTCAAACACTTTTTTTGAGTCTCTTACAATACCTTTTTATTTGCAGTCATCAGATTGAATATCAAATAAAAACAACACACAAGATTAAACAAGTGTGGGTAGGAGGATAAAACTTGTGTGTTGTTATCATTTCTGTATGGTTTTGTGTAAAAATAAACTTATTAGAAGTAGTGATAGAGTACAGATTAGATTTTTTGATAAAAAAAGAATAAGGGATTAATTTGAAATAGGGGGAGGGGGGGGGGTAAATTTGTTGTTTAAAAAATTACTAACATTGGTTGTTCAACTTATATACACTTCATGAATAATTAACTCCATTTAAATACAATAATAATTATTATAATAATACAGTACAACCTCTCTAAAGTAATATAGAAATAACCTCCTTAAAGTTATAAAAACATTCTGGTCCTTGTTATGTAAGGAATAAACCCTACATTGTAATAAGTTATAACTTTTTTTGGTCCCATCTTAGAAAAACACGCCTTCATGTAGTTATAATTTTTGCTTCCAGTTGGGGTTTGATTTTATGTTTTTTTTTTTTTTTTTGCACAACTAACACGAATATCATCAGTTCATTGATTTTTCGTATTGACCCTGATGGCATGGCTGATTTGATAGAGAAAAAAGGGTAGGTATTCAACACCCTTTATATACACAACGGGGCCTTGGGCATCAAGGAAAGAAAGTATATATATGCAATAAATAAAATAGGATAAATTAGGTTAGCATCTCTCATTTTTCTTTCCATTAATTGAAATCTTATTCATTTTTTACTTTAGATTAAGGTCCATTGACTTTTGTTCACGTCATTATTTGAATATGAATTATTTACATGCAAGCCTATGTCAACTTCAAAATTGAAAAACTTATTAATCATTTTCAAATATATCCTTTTAGCAGTTTTCATATATTTCTATGGGTTTCCTGTAGGAATAGTAGTATTAATAATAATAATAAATAATAAAACAAATCAATAACAAAACCATGTACCATAGTAATAATTTGTAATTACCGGAAACAAAATTTTTTCTTTGGGACTTGGGAGGAAGAGGTAGTGGGGTTGATTCCCTCTCAAGCACCATGATTGTCGAATAGTAACAACCCAAACTAGACAAGTACATCTAGGTATTAGTGCTAATTAATTGACTTGTATAAGAACATTGGGATACGGTTAATTCGCAATAAACCAAAAACTAATAATTAATAATAATTTGTCACTCAGTATTACGGTCTGATGGTATTCTTCTTCACTTGAAAATGAGAGGTCTTAAGTTCGAAACTCGTAGATGGCGAATTCGATACCAAATTAGGCTGCTCATTGTGTGGCTTAGCCGAACTCCCGCCTCCCCTTAATGTAAAAATATCGATTTACTAAAAAAAAAAATTAATAATGGTTAAACCTAGTTAACTAATACTAGTACTCGAAGTTGTCTATATTTTCGTTTGGTGATGCTAGAAATATCACTTTTGTAAGATTATATGATGTGACGGTAATAATTGAATCATTAAAAAAGTAATCCAGCCATTAACCACAACATCTTGTAGTTTCCCAAACATAATCTAAACAGAATGGTTTTTATAACATTTTTCTTTTTCGTGGCTCAAAAGAACGTATGATTTTGATTAACTAGTATATATCTCTAGCATAAGGTTAAGAAACCGTACAAATTGCAAATATAAAAAAAAAATATGTTTGGAAATTTCGTGGTTTGAGAACCCAAAAAACATCAAACATCAAATATATGATTAGTTATATGGAGCTTAGAGACCAATAACATGACCCCTCTCTCTCATGTATTTGTCGAATCCCGTGTAGTCTTTGCTAATTGTTTTTTTATCTATGGTTTCATACGGTTAGCTCCTAGTTAAGCGCGGCAAAACTCCAAGAAACCCACAACTTTTTTTTTTTTTTTTGTTATATTATTTTATTTTTCAAAATTTGATGATGTGAATCCAAATGCCCAAGTGCGCATTTCTTCTTAAGCATCCATTGGATCGCAAAACACAAGTCTCAATATATCATGGAAGGTAGGCACACATAAAGCTAATGTGAGTTTTTGTTGGTAATTTTTGTAATAATTTTTGCAAGTTGCCTAATCTTGAAGATTTATAGGTTTTGGTGTTTAATTTGAGTACCTTTTAGCATACGTGTAGGAAAGGTTTTACTTCCACTTTAATCATAACACACATATATAAAAGAGGTTTAATGAGAAGACTGTTATTAGCAGTACAAAAAGTTATTTTGCATTACTCTTTAATAAGTCTAGGGCATGGAAACTTACATGAAACAGACCCTCGAAACAAACTCATTCGGGGATGTAAGCATTTTATTGGTCTTTTATGTTAATCTTATACACAACATATTTATAGAGAAAAAAAAAACCTTAATAGTGGATGGTCTTGCTAAGTTACGCCTTTCATTTAGTCTAGAAAGTGTTTGTTTTTTACACCACTATTTTCTCTGTTATTTTTTATGTGTTAAATGATTAGTGTCTAACGGCTTTTAAAACCTTGTTTATACCTCATGCAAGGGACAAGGTTAGTGTTTTTTCAGTTATGTTAATGACAAACAAAAAAGAAAGTACAATACTATTAAAATCGGCCGGGGGGACAATTCTTTTCTTGGTTATATGTGTTATAGTTTTTACTTGAATTTGGTGTCTATATTGTTGAAACAAAATTTGTGATTGTTTTTTATTTAGGTAGCCAAATGCCCACTTTGTTGCCAATATTCTTTATTATATATGTAGACATTGCAAATTTTGCCCGTATCCAAATTTTAACAATGATTAGCACCCACTAATTTTGTTATTTAGTTGATAATTATAAGTGATTAGTACATGAACGAAAGTGTAAGCAGTACCAGCTGAGACATAATCCAAATTTGGTTACACAACAAAGCGGCAAATCATTGCAAATTGTCCAACTTTACATTCTCTTTTCATGTTAAAATAAATATGTCAAGGGGAGCCTAGCATGGTTTTGAACGCCCCAACCTATCAAGTAATTTTCTTTGTTTTTTTTTATTTATTTAGATAGCATGGTTTTAAACTATGTGGATAGAAATTGTGAAATTTAGTACAAATAGGAGAACGTATTGCTCTGGCCAACTTTGTTATGTCCATATCTAAGCAATTTTTTTAATCTCAAAAAAAATGTAAATTTAATCAAGCGCCCGACTTCTAAAAAGGAGGAAAAGCCTGAACTAGAGGGGGAAAGATGAGGAATTCGGGAAGGAGTAATGGTGAAATTGGTTGAAAAGAAGGGCCATGTTGTTTGTACCATTTGGTTCTTAGGCCATCTCCAACCGAAGGGTCCAGATGGTCAGAGGGTTCATGGGCCCCACGGAATCTGAAAGGGACAAAGGACTAGCCGCATGCAGCTAGTCAACCAGCTCGGGGCTAGCCAAAAATTCAAAAAATCATGTCAGATATAACTGACAGGAATGCATTTTTATTTAATATAAATACATTCTTGTCGGATATAACCGACATGAATACGTAAACAAAAATTTTGAATCCAACGGCTAGTTAACTAGCCGTTGCATTCAATTTTATTTATTTTTTTTTTTGGTTTTTTGGGCCTTTTTTTTTTTTTAATAATTCTTAAAAATTCTATTTTTTTTTTCTTCCTATAAATACCTAAACCATTCATTAAATTTAAGTTCTAATTTTTTTTGTTTTTTGGACTAGTTACTATTGTAGTTTTTGAATTTAAGTTGTTGTTGGATTTGAATTTAAGTTGCTGTAGTTTTTAAATTTAAATAATAAATTATGTTTGGCCTTATGGCCTTTTGGCCCTCGGTTGGAGACGGTTTTTTGTGACATGGATAAACTGAGCCCTATGACCCTTTGGACTTCGGTTGGAGACGGAGGCAAATATGACCATCTACTGTTCATTAAAATATTAATATCTTAAGGGCCAGAAAGCTCAAAACGAACTATTTAGCCAAACCTCGGTTGGAGATGATCTTAGGTTGTTCTGTCCTGTCTCCGAATCCCCAATCGTTATGAATGCATAACATTACAAAATATAAGCTTAATTATAGTTAAAACTCAACAGGAGCACAAACCATCTTTCTCCAAAGTTCTATAAAACAAAAGCCAAAGAATCGAAACCAACAACATAAAAAATGAAGTGGAAGAAAAAAAGACAGCAAGTTGCCCAATAAGAGTGGCTACGTTTGCGTTCAGAGTTTCATGCAACTGAGAAATTTTTATTTATGACGGGAACACGGATAATACATTATGTGTTTTTATATAAGTAGTGAAAGATTTTAATTTTTTAATTATTAATTTTTTAATACACATATCTCACCTTATATATAAAAACACATAATATACCGCTTCGTATAACAGTGACCCTGAAAAATCTCTCTATGCAACTAGTACTTGTAAATTGTCGGTCTGTATGGGAACTCTCACTGAAGTGATCAGACCAAATAATTAATTGGATATTAAAATAGGTGCTTTAAATAAAGTCGACTAATACAAAAGAAACAAGCAGGACGGCTTCCGTTGTCTGATACGTTGTTCGAGGACGGGTTAATTAGGCACCTCTGTCCTCCCCACGGTCACTCTCAGTCAAGCATCTTCAAAAAGATGGGCTGCCTAGCCCACGCTCCTATTTTTCAGCCCACCTTTTGTAATGGCTTAAATTACTTTTCTGCCCTTCCACGTAATTTTTACTATGAAAAGTGATATTCACCTCTCATTCTACCTTTTACACATCCTTGTTAATTTTTTATCAGTGATTTTTTTCAATTCATTCGATCCGACAATCAAAAATTGAGAGAAATGTATGAAAAGTAAAAATGGGTGTATAGATTACACTACGCTTTTACCATTTGTGGGTAGATGTTATTGTTACTCATAAAACAAAGTAATTTTGCACTCTTTCAAGTGCATTATTTAGAGTGCCAGATGACTTCGTTAGAGAGTTAACAACAATTTATTTTTTGATTTAGTTTGGTTAAGCATGAGGGGAGGGGGGGTCTCTATCAAAAGGTTAGTCCTTTCTAATCACTATGAGCAGGAAGGAAGTAACCTCCAATAGTAGTTGAGGCCAAACTTCTGCATCTTAGCTCTTTCTGATTGCCTCATGCGAGATGAGAATAAGGCTGCATCAATAGTGTGATGGCCAACCTTTATTTGTAGTTACGCTCGACTAATCCTTCATCTCTTGCCAGTTACTTTTTACTTTCAATTTTTTTTTACTTTTATGTATTGGTTTGCTAAGTTTCTTCAATAATATCATATCGATCTTTTCTTAACAAAATTTTATTTTTTATTTTATTTGTGTTATTTATTGAAAAGAGATCAAAATGAATGATCTTAACCGATTGAGTAACAAGCTATTTGCATTTTTTTTTATTAAAGAATCGATTTTCAATCCATATATAGTTACTAATACTATAAATAGCATTACCGCTATCGTATTTTCGGAACACATATATGTTTCACCAATGTATTAGTTAATAGGGTTCTAAAAGACGCTAGACACTAGTCAGATGGTAGGCTAGGGGCCTAACGCCTAGGCATACTAGGCGGATTTAAGTAAAGTTATCATATAAATGAGTGCCTATTTACACTTTAGAAAGAAAAGGAAATTTTTTGAAATGTCATATAAACTTATACACATTTTTCAATTTATCATATGAACTAAAATTTTAAGCGATTTGTCATATTAACTTTATGAAATCATTAATTTGTCATCTCACCCCTAACACCGTTAAGTTTTCTATCCAAAATAAGTCATGTGCCTCGTACATGACTTCTATTCAGGGTTATTTCTGACTTATTTCCTCCATTTTACAAGTTCTTTGATTCTCTTTAGTACAAAACCCTTAAATTTTGGCTAGTTAAAAAACATGTCGTGTTCGTTCGAAAAACTTATGGTGAACTACTAAAAAAGTACATTAGACTCACTAATATGGAGTTGTGGCTAATTGCAAGCTTTGAGAATTTAACATGGTCAATCATGGCCATCTCTTTCATTCCATTGCTACCCTGTGAAAAATATTTGTTTGCTCTGTCTCTCTCCCTACAACATCAAGCCTCTCTCTCTTCTGCCCCTGATCTCAATTCTCAGTCCCTCTCTCTCTCTCTCTCTCTCTCTCCCTCTCTCCCTCTCTCAATCTCAATTCGGGTAGCCAAGGTGTTGATCAATCAAACACCCTAATTTGGGTAGCGGGGTGGGCTTTGATCTGTCTCTCTCAACCTTAATTTCTCAATCTCATTGATGAGAAACCGTTCCTGCAGCGATTCGACATCCACCCAAACCGTTGAGGCCACCTATACGACCTGCAGGACGCCGCCTAATTCACATCCCGATTTTCCTCTCAATTTAATCTAAACCACAACGTCTGGACATCGCCTATCATCTAGGCACCCCCTAGGGCGCTTTTTGAACACAGTTAGTTAGATCATCCTTACTTCACCTATTTGAGATAAAAAAATTAAAAAAAAAAAAAAAAAAAAGATTATTGACACTTTTGGCAAACTATATATTAATTATTATATAATATTGTTATTAGAGTCCGACACACTAAATTTCATTGTATCTAACCAGTCTGGAATTTAATGACTTACATTTGTCCATGCAAGTAAAATTTCGTTAAAAAGTAGGAAGAAACATTCAAGTTGTAAAAAATTGAAAGAGGAAACAATGATTTGTATTAGAGGAAGGGTAAATATTATCATCAATCACTTTCGTATTAATTAAGTTGGGGGAAATGAGATGCATCTAGAACATGAGGATTGAGGGATACTGATAGTCACGAGTCTGACAGCTTTCATAAATATGTAATGCTCTTTCATGGCTTTTGCTTCTGCTAGAAAAAGACACTACTTTAATTTCTACTTGTTTATCTCTTTATTGTATCACCTAAATATTGTCATGTTATAAACACTTATCGCACTTCACTACTCTACTAGTCAAGTAGCTCAATATATTGAAGCCATTTAGGTTTTAGATATGCTTCTAACATTATATCAACGTCCGACAATCAATCATATATGCTTGAACGACTGTAAAACGTAAAAACTCATATAATGTTATGTTCTTTTTTCTAAACGACCTAATAATGGAGACATTTTTAGTAGATAATTATATCGTCACATGATGTTATCAATCTCAGTGTTAAAATATGAATGAATAACAAAGTTTAAATGTTACAGACGAAGAGTATAATAATACTAATATGACCATGTATTGTCTGTAAAATACCTCATAATTTTATGACCATATATGTGTGGGAAATTACCCTTTTTACCCTGCTATTTACTTTGTTTTCATTGAATACCACCTCCCCCACTTATTGCCTAATGAAACCATGCATATCCGTTTCAAGCATACAACGAGTGGAATAAAAACACCATCTTTATGATCCAACGCCTACATTTTTAAATGCATCACCCCTACCCTCCCACTAATTCCCCCACATATGAATTACCTAATTACATTTACGGCCAATAAAAATAAAAACTAACAAAAGTTCTACTTGTCGAAATATGACGATATCTATGCAATATAATTCAGTTGACGATCCTCTAATGTTCGAATCCTCAATCCGTCGCGAGTCTAACAGTTGAAAGAAGCTTTTCGCCGATCACCGTGAGGTGGACAAGGATAAAAAGGTTGCGGAGAAGGCATGCAGTGGTTAAGGAGATAAAAATAGGCTTATAAAATTGCCTTGTATTCGAGGTTGCCTGCCACGTCACATTTAGCTGTTAATTAAACAAAAAGAGAAGGTTAAAATCTTCAAATGGTAAAATAAAATCTAAATCATAGTACGTGCACACACAAGGTAGGGTCATAAATTCGTAACGCCATTTTCTTATTTTAAGTATTACGATGACGAAAACACCCCCACTGGTGAAGTCGGTAACCGAACGTTAAGCAGTAACTGACAAGTAACAGAAATTCAATGGGGGATTAACACCATTAATTAATCTTAATATTCAGTCAAAGTAGAACCCATATGTCCTCTCACGTGACCCGAATCCCAAACTCCAAGAATTAGTTTTTTCTCCAGCTGCTGAGTCAGCCCCGGCCCCACCTGAGCCCCCCTCGGTCCTCTCCTCCCATGCGGCGCCTCGTAAAATATCTCCGAGTCTCGCCGGACTCTCCCCCGGTACGTCCCGGCCCCACCCGCCTTCTAATTACTAAAAATAATTGAAAATTTTGAAGCTTTTAGAGCCGAAATAAAATATATAAAAAAAAGAAGATTTTTCTTGCCTTTTTGGGGATAAAAAGGGAAAAGAAAAAGATATGAGAAGGCAGCTGAACCGGGTTTAGCGATTTTATCAAAAAACAAAAAAACCGGGTTTAGCGATTACGGCTGTTGAGGGATCCTATAAAGTAGGTAGTTTTGGTATCCAGCGAGACCTTGTGCTTCTTCTTTCTTTCTCACTTACTCCACACACTCCCCTCTTTTCTCACTACACCCACCACCACTACCACTCTCACACACCCCCCACCCCCTGTCTCTGCTTTTCAGAAACCGATTCCGATTCCGATTCCGAAAACATTATATTCCCTTTCGGAGCTTTTCTGAAAATCTCCCGTTCTTTTTCCGTACCGTTGGCCGGGAAGGCCTGGAGCTTCGTCCCTCACGCTCTTTCCCCTTTTTCTCCTTTTCTTGGCGAAGCTTTCCGTGAAATTTCTCGTCGTTTGATGGTACTTTTTGGTAATTTTCACTCCGTTTCGAGCAGCAGAAGCAGCTTCTCCTTCACGCCTGTTTCTCTCTCTTTATTCTCTCCTCCTCGTGTGCTCTCAAAGAATCTCCTTTTTTTCTTCTGATTTCTCCACCTCTATTTTAACCCACCACCGCTGACTCGCTCCCCCACCCACTCACTCTTTCAACCCGCTCTCGATGCCACTCACCTTCTAAATTTTCACTCTAGAAAGTTTTGTTTCTTTTTTGTGAGCTATGAATCGTCCTGCTGTTAGGTACACGCACCACCGGAGCCACACTACGATGGTGGCCAATTCGGCGGAAGCGGACGAGTTCGAGTCCGTCAGGCCGCGTGTTGTGCGGATATCGGTCACCGACGGAAACGCCACCGACTCCTCCAGCGACGACGAGGCCGAGGGTTCGTCTTTTTGTGGGACCCGCCACCGGGTCAAGAGATTTGTTAATGAGATTACCATCGAGTCCTGCTCAAACAGGGACACCGACTCTGCCGTTTGGAGGAGTCGGATGTCGAGGACCGGGAGGAAGCGGCCGTCTGGGAAATCCAAAGGCCCGGCGAGTGGTCGCCGGGATTTGAAGGCGGTTGCTGCTCCTGTGGGGAAGAAGTTCCGTGGCGTGAGGCAGAGGCCCTGGGGAAAATGGGCGGCGGAGATAAGAGATCCTCTGAGACGTGTACGGCTCTGGTTGGGAACGTTTGACACGGCCGAGGAGGCCGCTGTGGTGTACGACAACGCTGCCATTCAGCTGCGTGGACCCGACGCGCTCACCAACTTCGCTCCTCCTCCTCCGGCGATATCTCTACCTGACGTTAAGCCGGAAGTTAGCTCTGGCTTTTATTCCGGCGACGGGTCGCACAACCACCTTTGCTCTCCGACATCAGTGTTACGCTGTCCCTCGCCTTCCAACGAAGAAGCCGAGTCGCCGTGGCCGAAACAATCTCCGGAAGTCACCGAAGTCCGAAATGTCCGAGAGAACTCCTCCTTTTCGAAGAGCTTGTCCGAGTTTTCGGATTACACAAGTTTCGAAACGTTTATTCCGAACGACATATTTAACTTCGAAACCTCGATACCGGACTTCTTCGAGGAGAATAATCTCCGAGACGATATCTGTATTTTGAAGGAAGAAATCACCGATTTCGGAAACTTCGGCATTTCGAAAGAAGAAATGACCGATTTCGGAAACTTGGGTGACCTGTTTGTCGATTCGGTTCAGGACTTCGGATTCGGGTCCTCGCCGTGGTGTACGGAGGACTATTTCCAAGACATCGGCGACCTGTTTAGTTCCGATCCTCTGGTTGCGCTATGAGACGAACAACACTATAGTTCTCCGTCCTTGTGTTGTCGGTTTAACGGCAAGTTTTGTATCGGCGGGAACGGAAAATCGGAATGTGTTTAATTTAATTTAATTTTTAATTTTTTTTTTTGTTTTTGTTTTTTTATCAGTTTTGGTTTGTAATTGTTTATTTATGAACGGTGAGTTTTGGCCATACGGTGTACAGTGCGCTTGTTCTTTTTGGTTTTATCGTTTAAATGCCACGTGACTGACCCGTCCCATAATATTTTGCTTTGCGCGTCCTAATTTGCAAACACATGTGGAGCTGCACACGTGCTGGGTTTATTTATAAATGAATTATCAAATTTTAAAGCTATTTTTTTTGTTTTGTAAGGTTGGACCAAATCCAATAAAATTCTCACTAATTCAATAAATATATTTGGATTCTAACTACTCTTGTTTTCGACCAATTCATTCGTATTAACACACGTATAATAGTAACAACAACCTTGGTATCATATATTAATTTTTGTAACGTTTTTGGGTTAAATTGCTTCCTTAAGCATTAGCATTTATGTCAACCGTTATTTATTTATTTATTTTTTTTGGCATTGATTCTACAACGTTAAACTGAAACTTGATAATTCTCTAGGTGTTGTTTACAAAAACTCCGAATTAACATGCTATCCTACCCCCTGGTTAGGGCTTTCAATTTTAATCCACAACGTTCCGAATTCAGGCCATCATCTCTTTCCTTAGTGTAGAACAACACTTGTAGAAACAAACAAATGTACTCATTTTTATACAAATTCTTTTTTGTTTATTATTATTATTATAAATTTGGAACGTCAATAACAATTATGAATTTTTATACTGAAATATATCAGAAAGTAATTATATTGTTTTGGATTATCACTACTCCCTAGCTACTTAAATTTGAATATGAAGTAGAAGGGCAGGACAAACTTAGAAGGAAGGTATCTTTGTTTTGAGTAGATTTTTGATTCGTGGGAAGAATTTTGATACTTATTTGGTGGGTTAGAATTAGATCTCACGTCCCTGCAATATTCCAGATAAGAAGAATGATGGGCTTATTCATTATATCCGTTCCTTTAGGTCTAAGTAGGGATATTTGGATGCAGACATGGCAGATCTAATTATCAATAATTAAGAACAAATTAAGTAGTGGCCTAATTGTGATCAATCCAATCATTTTCAATAAAATTAAGAAATAAATGAGTGGTTAGAGCGGGAAGGAATCCGACAGCGTTTTGAGAAATTTTTATGTCTTTTCGGCACACATATTGACACACCACATGTTATCATACAACTAAACGATAAGATTGATATGTAACAATTTAAGGTATAATTTTCAATATCCCTCTGTCAGAAGTGTGATAGATAGTATACACCATTTTATATTCCAGATACACTAAAAAAATATCTCATGGGTCTTGATATATTGAAAGGAGACATGGCACGTTATTGTGATGGAATTAATGTAGGAAATGGAATCCATGGTGATATACAGTGGCAGGGTTATGGCTGTTTTGGGTGGGAGGGAGACTTGTTATTTTATGCATTGCTTGGGGAGCTTTCATTTGGTAACACGTAGATACTGTGAGCAAGTGGGAGAGTGAGACCAAAAAACAGCAATATGGATGTACATTTTTCTCTGTCAAACACTCAATCAAAATGTTTGACGAGAAAAGGGAGACAATTTTGTTGTGCAAAGAACGGTTGAAAAGATGCCAATTATTGAAGGGTTATATGACAACATTATTAGATATATATTTGATACAACCATGCCTTGATAGGATGGCCTAAAGTTTTGAGACATATATGTTGCTTATGTTATGATTGGGTGTTGAGGGTCTGGTTACGTTTTTGAAATATTTATTTTCGTGTTTTATGTATACAAGTGTAATAAAATGCATTTGATACAAAACATTAGATACAAAAAAGTCTTATGTGTTACAAAACGTCAAATTGGTATTTCATGTGTCTACATCCAAAAGAAAAAATAAAAAAGAGATACACCTAATCACATTAGAGTTTCAAGACCTAAAAAATCAATCATGTAACAAACACCCGATGACCATATTATCGCCGCCACTACCATCTCTACAACCATAACTTCCCCCACACTATATCATTGCCGCCACCACCCCCGTATACATTGTCACCAGAACCATTGCTACCATCTTCGCCACTATCACCTCCATCACCCTAAACCACTATTGCCCCTGGCACTACCCTTCACCACCATGCCACCCCCACAATCGCCAACATCTCCACCGCCTGAACCACCATTGCCACCACCTCCACCCTATATGTATAATCGTGCCACCCCTACTGCGACAACTATTGCCGCCAACACCACCCTGCACCACCTTTGCCACAAGCATGACCCGCCTCACCTTCCCCACCATTCTCTTAATATAGAAAATGGAAAAACATTGCTACCAAATGGAAAAACTATATGGATAATACTTGTCTACCCCTGATGGGGGAACTTACTTGTCTCCCCACTTCTAATTAACATATCTTCATCACACGAACTTCATAATCAGAACCGTTTATACTCTTTATAATCATCTAAAAATTATATTTGCAAAAAATCATTCAATTTGAAAATCATTAATTAGCGATTCAAATGCATCAAACAAAGGGAAGGTTCATTATGAGGATGCTACTTGTTACAAAAATCGTCAATTGGTTTGACAAATGAGGATGACTAAATGATCTTCAACTTGAATAATTTTTTGCCGACATAATTTTTAGATGATGATAAAAAGTATGAACATTTTAGATCATGAAGTTCGTATGGTAAAAAGACATTAATCAAAAGTAAGAAAGCAAGTAGATTGTCCCCTCATAAGTGGAACGCAAGTATTATTATTTTCAGATATTTGGACCAAACACTTTATTTTTGTTTTTTTATTTAAAAGAACACATTCCTCACCTTAAAATGCAAAATTTTATTTTACAAAGGAGTTTTTCATTAACTTTTATGTCCATGCATCTCTCACTTCATGTCTCATTTAATGAGATATGCGTAGACATAGCTATTGTCATCGAACCCTCACTCCGTATCTTTGTTTACCGATGAGATCTACTTGATATGAGTATCTTCCATGCGAAAGAAAAACACAGAAAAGGGAAAGCCAATGTTTGACTAATTAGTGGTTCACTTGGGAGCTCCACATGAACACCATAGTTTTGACTTTGGAGTTTGGAGAGAATTTGCAGAGTAAAGCTGTATGAATAATCACACTTTGTTTAAAAGAAACCAATTAATCATTCATTTTGTCAACTAAACACCCGTTTAGGATGTGTACTATATTATTGTATGTTGTTAGATTGTGAACCGAAGCGGTTAAACTACTATATCAGTTAATCCTAATCTAACAAAAGGAAGAAAGGTTTAAATCAAATCAAATCGAATCAACGGACAGGGGTGAAGAAAAAGCAGTCCAGTGGTCCATGAAATTGTTTTGAATGCCATCATATAAATTGTAACAATTGTGCCTCACCCACTGCAGCAGCGGAAAAACTCACGTAGTACCTGGCTGGCTAACCCTAAAACCAGATGCCCCATCCCACAAAATCCAAACTTCCATTCCATTTGCCGATTTCTCAAACAAGTGCCAAAATGCCCTATTAAATAGGTTTTGGCAAATTCTGGATACAGACCTGAAAGCCTTCTAGCCTGCACGCGTCGCTAATATGACAAACATACCCCTGAGAAACCCAATCTGTCTTTTTCTCTGTTTTTTTTTGCCCAATCTATTTGCGATATTTTACTTTTGTATTGCAAAATTCTGCAAACCTCCTTTATTGGGTTTCTGGTTCTTCAAAACTTTTGCGACAAATTCCAGGCATGCATGCATGTGTTAAATTTGCATGAATAGTAATGGTATTTATTGGGGAGGACTGAGATGTCATTTTCTTGATGGATCATGGAGTTCCAAGTGTTTAAAATGCAAGAGCTTTGAAATGATGGAGTGAGTGAGATTTTTCGGTACGTGTCCTGTGTCCTAATTATGTAGGTCTTCTGGGATTTTCAAGGACTTGTTTAGCCTTCAATTGAAGCCTGGCTGGAGAGAGAGAGGGACAGCAGTTCCGTTCCTTGTTGTATGTTCTTAAACTTTTGGGGTCCCCTACAATCATACACAACATATACGAACCAACCAGTTAAGAAGAAGAAAGATCATCTCTTTTTTGTTATTTCATTTTGTTTCAGGTGATGCTTATTAGAGATATGTTCTATAACTTCTCTTACTAGATTTTTCGTAAGAAACATTGGTTGCACGACGTCTTTATTTTATGCAATAGTTTAATAACATAACATGTCATATCATATGAAATATATACTACCTTTATGTAACGTTTAGTCATGCAAGAAGTTAAGACATTAGCGACACCTAGCAACAACCTTTTCAAGACCAATCAATTAAAATGGACAATGGGGCTTTCATGTTTAGTGAATTTAAATCCTTCGAGACTATACTTAATAAATTGGACAACTGTCCAACATATTGTGGACAACAAGTTTCTTCTACAGAGATAGAATTGAATATAAATAAATTGAACTCAGTCTCGATCTTGTCTAATCTAAACCACCCAATAGGTAAAGTTAAAGCAAGCACATGTAGCATTAGAACATTTTCCAAGTTGAAAGAGAAGTAGGAAACTTCGTTCTTTTTTTTTTGTTTTTTTTTTTTTAGTACATCGATATTTTTACACTTAGGGGATGGGGATTTTGGCGAAGTCACATAATGGACATCCTAATTTGGTATCAAATTTGCCATCCACAGAATTCGAACCTAAGACCTCTCATTTTCAAGTAAAGGGGAATATCACCAAACCATAGTACTTCATTCTTGAAGTTCAAGGTTGCATTTAATATATTGTCAAATATGACAAGAATTGTGTTGAATTTTTGTTGTAAATCCAACAAAATAGTATATAGTCACATTGAAAAGCACCAAAATAGTAGATGGAGTGATTTCATCTCTAAAGTTAGGTATACATTAACCTCAAATGAGACCATATAAATGCATGAACTAACCAACCAAACCAAAACACCTGCAATCACTCGACAAAATACAATGCCTACCCAGATATTCATCAACCTATCCACGGTCCGTATCAATTCAACGTCATCATCCCCTCAAATAGTGCACCTCGGACTTGGGGTTTATATCAACA